ATGGCACTATTTACAAATATGCAAGCAATTACAGCAGACTAGAAGTGGCCAAACTGGTAATTCTATTCTGCCAACATAAATCCTCCTACTGTAACTGAATGCAGATTTATTTATTTTTTTCATCTCACAGCATAAACTTTAAAGTCTTACTGTAAAATGCTCATTAGCCATCAAATATCTTTATGGAGTAGCACTTGCTTTACAAGAGAGTGTGAAAGGAAGTTTGTTCTATGTATTGTGAGACACTGAGGTTACTCTAGGATAGAAGCTCCAACACATCAGTTGGCTCCAGCAGAGACAGATAGTTTGAAATGCCACCAAAAAACAATCTTCCTCTTCATCTACTAACAGCTCTTCTTCTCACACTGCCTGCACTGTTGAACTTTATTCTCCTACACCTTACTACAAGATGGTAGTTTAGATTTTTAAGTTTTTCCTCCTAATTAAAATATTTGCTTCTCCCAAAAAGCTAGGAAGAAGCTGACATTTCCAGCTTTAGATTTGACTCATGCTGTCATAGCTTTCAGGTGCAGAAGTTTTTCCTCTACTTTGTGTAGAACCCAGCTCCCTATGAATTTCCCTGGGTGGCAGTTTGAACTAAGGAAAATTCCAGGCAGCAGAAACAATTTTCTAGATCCCATTACAAAACCACTCCTAAAGAAGTTCATAAAAGGCTACAATGTAACAATCCGTGCCTTATCACTCCTTGTTCTGCTCTACAATTTAAATGATTATATATAGATATATACATATTCCATTGCACAAGACAGTTGGATAGGAAAAGCAGCATCTTTTTGACCTGTACATGCTGTCGTCATCTTGGCCCCCCCTTTACTTCTTCCTGTAGCAAGGAGACACTGTCCACATCACAGTTTCATTCCAGAAGCATGAAACACAGTGCTTGAATCCACAGTTTGAATCTGTTGGTACTGGTCCCTCACAGTAAGCCACAGGATGCTCGACAGGAAATGAACTCTAAAAGAGATGCAGATTTGGCAGAGCACTCTTTACAGAGCTCAGTGCCAGTTTTTCTAAATAAAGATGGAATTATGTAGATACTTGTCCACAAAATGACAGCTTCAGAGAAACCCTGGAAAGTGAAGGTTTATCAGCAAATTGTGCTATGTAAAGTGGAAAACTGTTTATAAGGCTTCCATGCATATACTTATTTCCACAGTTCATACTAATACATTTTTCATCAGCTTGAGAGAGAGAAAGATGAAACATCAAAGGGCTCTTGTAGCTGAAGTGTGCACCATTGTCATCTACCTGGGTACTTTAATCACATTTTAATATTTTACAGCTTTCCTACAGATCCTAGTGAACTTTATCAAGCCAGGACTCCAAGCTACAGATACAACCTCATTTTGCTTTACCCCAGATAGAAATATGGATTTCTATAATTTGGCTATAGAGAAGCGATTTCTTTGCTTAGTTCAGGTTATGGAAATAATTGCACCTCTTTCAGAAAGAGGACAAAGTATTCAGAAAAAGGCACTTTAAAATTGTATTGCCTGTTTTTCAGTGACTGTTCTGAGAGCCTGATGCAGCAGCCAGTGAATTCAATAGCTTCTCAGTTTCAACACTCAGGTTCTCAAGGGTTATTCTTTACGCTCCTTCTAATGCTGTGTCATACTTAGACCATGGAGCCCAAAAGTTTATGTTTGGCTTTGCATATAGAATGGGTTCTTAAAAATTAGAATCAGTCAAAGGAAGTTTTTATCATTAATAGAGAAACAAATAGTAAGCTGATATATAAAACTTATCTAAACCTTATGCATACTTCTCAGATGGAAGAGCTGGTGCACACACAACCATCAGTACACATAATCAGTGGCAGTATGCACAAAGAGGTATATCCTAACTGGATGCTGGAAAAATGGGAACCAGTTATCTGTATATGGAAGTACATGAAAAAAAATACTAGAGAGTGGGAAGATTATATCTGGGTGCCTCTGCTATAAAAAGCATTCGTATTACCCTTACTTCTCTGAATAAATTCAAATGACAGCCCCATTTCATTTCTTCATTCAGTCTGGAGGCCAGATGGCATTAGAATCATTTACTTCACCTTGTTGTGCTTAATTACTACAATCAACACACTATTTTCCAAATTAATCATAACAAAGTAATTTCATTAGTAACACAGCAGGCTGTTGAATTATTAGCATCATAACAGTTTGCAAACAATTAAACTTTATTTGAACCTTAAAAATTTGCAGAGTAGAACATTATTGTAAGATCTAATGGCAGTATAGCACAAATCCAGAGCAGAGCAAATAATCAATTAAAACGCTGTACAAAATACGACTTTCAGCCACCTTCTTCAAAAATTAGCAGAAATTCACAGAAAGGCAAGTGCAACCTAAGTAAACAAAGAAAATAAAGCAATTGGCATTTTCTACCCTTGAGTTTTAAGTTGTATTAACAGAGCTTTTCTTATCTAAAAAAGGTTGTGGTATAGATCTGAAGTAAATCATTTTCCATGGTCCAACGCTGGTACACTCCAAGACACTTCAAGTGAGTTTCAGGACAGGTTTCACGTTCTCAGTTTTAAGGCAGTTTGTTTACTTCCCCCCACACACATCCTATATACTAAGAGGAGGGGGGGAATGGCCTGAAGGAGAACTAGAGACAAAAGAGACTTTTATTTCCCTCCTCGCCACCACCCAGAAGGAAGCGCCCGGGCAGACCTGCTACGCATCGCTTGGGTAAGGACTCCCTCTCCTGGAAAAACGGCAGAAGCACTGAAGGGGGAAGGGGACGGGCTCAGCAACCTCCCGTGCCATGAAAATCTGGTGCCACCTGCTGCCGCGGGCGCGCAATGCAGCGCCGCGCAGCGCAGGGCAGCGCAGCACTGCGCGCCTGCTCCGCACCCCTCCCGGTACCTCAATCGAGTTTCCCACAGATGCGCCTCGTCTTAACGGGGTGGGCGGGGGGCATCTGCTCCCCAAAAAGTAGGTGGTGGTGACATTAGGAATGACATCATTGCGCAAAAGGCATTTCCGCGGGCAGATTTATGACGCTGCCACCTTAACAAGGAGCTTTTCTAACCATGATATTAACGCTTCACATTCTGTACACAATCCACAAGCACACTTGATAAATTAAAGTAGTAGAAGATCTGAAGACTATAATCTATCATTTTAATGCTTCTCTGATAATGTACAAAATCAATTTCAACAACTACCTCTTCTTTTAAAAAAAAATAAGAAAAATCACAACACAACTCTGTACCCTGTTTGACTCCTATTAGAACCCAGTGCACCATCATACATGAGCTAATATAAAGCACCACAGTTTACTGAAAGGATCTAATTCCCAGTTCAGACTAATGCTACCTTTTAACCCACAGCGTTTCCAGGGCCTGCCTGAAGCGTAAACAGCACCAGCAACTACAAGGGGACCTGCAGAGGCTCAGCAATTCACAGACTGGCTTTCCCTGCCTCTTTGGCAGATTAAGGGTCTCACAAATCAAGTGTGTGGGAGGATAAAAAAAAAAGTTGATCTTCCATGCTAGTAGTAAAGCGTATCTCCAAAACAAGAGGGTTTAAAGTATTAACTCTGACTTGCCCAACCCCTTGTTCAAAACTGACAGGGCTCTAGCATACTTTTTTGTTTCAATTGATGCTTAAAGCCACTAAATTCTAGGTATTAGACACTAGGATTGGAGGTAGCCCTTACTAACCCAGGTAGAGCTGAAGGTGTCTGTTGCACAACTTGTATCAGAAATTCCACATATCAACAAGGTACCCAGATATCACTCTGTGAAAATATCTGTATGTTACAGATAAAGTATTTCACACTTCCACAGAAAAAAAACTCTTATATGCCACCTAGCTCATGCAGACTTAGCAAAAAACAGTGGGGTTTAATATATTAATCTTTTTACAAATTGTGACATAATTCCCATCTCCACATCAGAATGGTATCACGGCAGTACTACCACACAGGCTCATTTACTACATCAGCAAAAGAACCAGACTTTCCTTCCATGGTAACGAAATATTAATTAACAATAACAATACCAAATATATGAGAAAAATAAATCATTGGCTAAAACATAATACAAAAACGTTTGGGAGCAGAATACACTGAGGACTTGCAGTTATTACACATAAATTTCCCTTTATTATCCTAGGAAGCTGCACAAAATGTGCAGTGAGTATTAAAATGTTAATACACACAAGCTGGGTAAAAGCTTTCTACTTTGGAAGTTCAGCTGAATTTTTCTAAATCTGAGGAAGAGGGAAAAACAGCCAAATCCTCCAAAAGGAACACAATCTTATAGCTATACAGAGTGCTGCTAATATGCCTGAGTGAAGAGCAACAGGCACTATTTGGCTGCTTGTGCCCCATATGTTAATTACCATCTACTTCATTTTCTAACATTACGATTCTATAAAAAGCGGCTAAGAAGAACATTTCCACAGAATTATGATCAATTACAGGTTTTAATGTTTAATATACACAAGGCAACGATCTGACTACATTCGCTGAAACCACAAAATGGGTACGGCAGAATCTTCTTTCAGAGGCTGGGTCTATTAACTGCAGCTGCACCCCCTTCTTGATTGCAAGTGCAGATTTCTCCTGATTAGGGAGAGGGAAGTTAAAAGTTCATCATTAACCAAAAAACCTCAAACATGCATACCTAGTCCAAGTACCTATCCCCTTCCACGGCTTTCTGCAAAGACAGATGCATGTGTCTTATTATAGTAACAAAACTAAACAGAAAGCACACAAATTTTATTTTTAAAATAACTGGAAAAGGAACGGAGCTATAAACTACATAATATCTTTTGTACACCGTGGTTTAATATTTCAAAGAGAATCCCAGAAAAAGTGCTTTAATTGAACCTTCAATATATTTTGCCACAATCTTTATGTTAACAGGACTCCTACAAAGGTTCCAGGAAAGAAATACTTATGAAACAGAGAACAAGGGAACATATAAGCCATTACAGAAGATTGGATTAAAATGTACTTACCCAGGCCTCTCAAATATCATACATCTCCATTATGTAGGCTTTAGGCACCAAGCCAATGGTTCCCTTCATTTCTCCTACCCACCAGCCAAATCTATCGTACTCCTAATTGAAAACAATATGCAATATTAACCTTTAGTCTGATATAAATGCAATAGAGTTTTGAATGCAATTCTGTAAGGATGCTTTTTCTTATATACAGTTATAATAATTTCAACTGAAAATTATAATTAAAACATATTTTTGTTAGAGGCATTCACATGCAGAGTTAGGCAAAGATAAAAGTTTAAATTTTAAGAGGTTGGGCACGTTCAAGAAAATTTCTTCATTACAGCCACACTTCTCTAACAAATACTAAAGATAGCTGACCTCTTCATCACAAAAACCTTATTTTTGTAACTAAAATATAATAACACAATGTTAACATGTAAGAATCAGTTGGGATTCTTTCAGTATCACAAGTCTAAACTCTTAAGAAACTCACAATCAACTCTGTTTAAAAACTACTTTGCTCAAATGTGAAAGGAACACTATATATCTAATACATGATCTCTTTCTATGGATGAAGTCTACTATTGCTCTAGGCTTGCAGAAAATCCTGCGGCAGATCTCATATGTCAGACAGATGACTAATGTACTTTTGTTTTAAATTTGTTTAGGCTTAGTGAGATAAATACAAAACAAAATGAATTATAATAGTTTAAAAGAAATAATATCTTCCAAAAGCAATACCAAGTAAGAGTATTGTGGGATCCAAATTTAATTTTTTTCCTATAAGGTAAATATTTTAAGTTCAATCCTAACAGCAGTTCAATAAATTCTAACAGCTGAAATTACACACACACACACACACACATATTGAGTTACAAATGAAGCATATTAAAACAGAGACCCCATTCAAAATGGAATGATTAATAAGATAAAAATTACTTTGGAACAAACATGCAAAATGCAAAATACACAGATATCTCTGATAAGCAACATCTGCTTCCTGCGATGCTGCACTTCTGATGATAAAAGCAAAAGGCTGTAGGATTCTGAATTACTGGTCCTACTGAGATAACACTGTAAGTGATTATTTTGACTGTAAAGTTTTTCGGCTATAAATAGTCAAGTGGAGCTTAAGGGTTAATGGAGTTTCATTAGAGCCTGAGCTATAATGATTTGCTGCTGGCATATTTGGCATGGTGGAGAGTTCTCTAGGGTCCTATGAGGTGCTTAGTGTACTCAGCTCTCCCTATGCTTAACTATGATGAAGCCCTGATGATGGTCCACTTCCATGTGGGCCCAGGCTTCTTCTTTTTGCCTTTTGTGTTTTTCAAAAAAAATGCTTGCATGCAAGCACACACAAACCTTTAAATCTTATTGTGAAAGGCTGAACACCAGTCTAAAATTACACATTTTCTTCCTTCTCTTCACAGTGAATTGGTGATTAAAAAAAATTCTATCCTGCTATCCATACAGTGCTGCAGTAAGTGTGATTTGAAGAAAACGCACAAGAAAAGCAGCAGCAAAACCTTCCGTTATGATGTGAACAAACAAACTAGAAAGTTCCACCTTCCACTGCAGAACAGACGTTTGGAGGTGGATCTGGTCTGAAAGTATCAATGTATCTGAACCTGATTTTCCATGCAAACTGCTCTCCACATAAGAACCACTCTTAACCTTTCCCATGGGTGTACACGTTGCACCGTAACTCCTTAAAGGCTAAATAATACCCTGACGCTGAGGTTTACAATGTTCTAGATCAGCCTGTATAAAAAAAAAACAAAACAAAATCCATGTTTTATCTCACAATACACTGGCTAAATATACAAACTGGATTTCCAGACTGAAGTAGGAAATTGCTGGAAGGAGCAGTACTCACATATATGACTGGAATCTCGACAATAAATCTCTCCAAGAGAAAGCAACAAAAGATTTGAAACTGTTACATGGAATTCATGAAGTGACTGACAAGAGTGATTAAGCAAGTTTTGCTACACATCAGTCAAAAAAGCAAACAATACATGAAATGAGGGAAGTGGCTTAGTTAAACGGTCATTAAATTGCGTATGACAAATGGCACAGAAAAAGCCTGTGGACTACATTATCCATTGAAAACGTTCCACTTAGCAACACTACATGAACTCAGAAATAATTGTTTTTAAAGAAACAATTCAGATAACTCAAGTTAAAATTAAAAGCATGCTGCTGTTCTGAAAACTTTCTGGGTTTTGCTACTTGCTAATACACCACTTACTGTTCTGGCATGATACTAAGTGAGAAGATGAAATTGATGTTGATGTAACAGACTAGTAAACTAATTTAGGGATTCACTGCAACCATTACAGCATACAGGCAATATTGCAACACAGACGCTTTTACTTTGCATTACTATTCTTTGCATGGGTCTCAAGAGTAATATGAATCCCAATTAAACTATCTGCAGTCTATAGAAGTCTGAACAAAAATTATCTAACACAGATACCTGGCTACCAAGCATAAAAAACCTGCATCTCAGGTTTTAAAATAATTAGAGAGCACTCCCTTTTGAACTGATTGAAGTACAGACGTTTCTCTTTAAACTCATGTCCACTTCTTTCCATACTTAGTACCACGAAAGAGTGCTTATTAGTCAGGCAGATAAGCAATCCCTCTCCAGTCTTTTCTTGAAGACCCATATAAAATCCAAATTGATGTATTGTTTCTATCAACATTATCAATTATAAACTCCTTCATAACAAGATAATTTAATTAATACACTGCTGTTGTGAGACCCGTAGTACTGCTTTTTAAGATGTGTAAAATAAAAGTCTAAAGCCCTCATTTGCGGTAATTTAATGATTAATATGCAGAAGGATATGAATACAGCTAGGAGTTTTATATGAGTTCTTATGAGCTGGGAAGCATAGTGCTTTTGTAACCATCAGCTCCAGATCTCAGGTACCACTGGGTTCACCATCTGGTATCCCTCACTGCATTCAGCTCTTAACATCACTGCTAACATAGGCAAGCGACTATACTTCAGAAGGACTGATAAAATAATGAAGAGTCCTTTAATCTACAGGAAACCATTGTAGTCAATTTATAAGAAATATTGCATCCCTTTGTAGGATGTGTAATTATTTTCTATTAATCATGTGCTATAAAGCTACATTATGTGGTTATTCTGTTATCACTAGAAAGAGGCCTGCAGTCAGCTCCCGACAATGTTAGGTAATTACTAACACAAAGCTTCTTTCTCCTTATGTGGAAATGCTATCAAGATCCAGAGGTGCTGTGATGCTCGCTGTATGAAAATAACTCTCCAAAGAAATTCAATAACTGCAAAATGAATTGCTCCAAGGCAAACAGAGGGATAGGAGAGGGGGGCAGGGCCAGATCCAGCAGCCCTGCCATGAGGGGAATGCACAAGTGTGTGGCCGGGGCTCTGCCACGTGACTGGGAACACATTTGCCACACCAGGCAAGGCGAGGCCTGCCGGGGGGAGGAAGGGGCCACCGCAACCCCTTCAAGACAAGCACCGGGGCAGGGGAATTTATTATGCCAAATAATACAAAACAACCACCTAAAAAAATACCAAATGCCTTCTAAGCTACTTGTACGTTCTCCCTGTTTCTACCGGTGGTTTGTTGGTGTTTTTTGTCCTTAGCAGAAATTTATTAACCACAGTGAAGTATTTCACAGGGCAGCAAGGAAGAGGTTATGACTTAACATTTTTAACATGCTGGCAAATGCTCTGTTCAGCATGCTAGGATTGGGGGCAGGGGGGAAATCCCATCAGGCTTTCCAGGCTCCTTAAATGCTCTCAACTGAACACACTGTGAGCAGATGCTTCGCCGTGTCCCCATCCCACCAATTTCACAGCACTGGTGTGTATGTACCCATGCTACCATGAGACACCGATCATGAAAGTTTTTGCACCTGGGGAAAACACGGTAGAAAGACACCACCTGTTTTTTACAGATACCTTTTAAATCCCAGATTTTTTTTGTACCATACAGAAGAGAATTCTGTTAGGCAAGAAGAGAAAACTTTCATATGCAAGAGGATTTCCAAAACAGTCTCTACCTTCAGAACAGATCCTTTGTGTCAATGAGGATCTCCAGATGCTTTGCACCATATTAACTTCTACTGACTTCAGCAAAAGTTAAGAACATCTGGTCCTTGTGCAATTAGTCCCTATTGTTCAATACATATGGTATGTTTTTTGTGTTTGTGGGGGTTGGTGTTTTTGTCTTGTTTTGTTTTGCTTTTTAAAAAGAGTTGCTGAAAATCATTACGCTTCAATGCCTTGAAGAAAACAAAGGAGTTGTATTTTTTTAAAAAAAAACCACATATGAAGTGTGTGAATTCAAGATTTTTATCCTGGTCTTCTCCAGGGGCAATATAGGTAATACCAACTTACAAGCTGAAGATCTGCAAACTTTAAAACTGAAAAACAAAACATATCTATAACCTTGTGGGGGGTTAAAATAAGTAGCCTCTTCTATCAAGCTGAAGATGTGCAAGAAGAAGGGAGAAATTATTTTCAAATAATATCCCAGGGGGCCATTTTGGCAAGATAACCTTTTAAAACACCTCTAATTCATCCAGGAGATTCAGACTAGCTAAAAAATTTTAGGACTTCTTTGGTGTAATTGCTGAATGACATACTATCAACCAGGGAGCACTTCTGGCACAGAACAGCATTTTCTCTAAAAAGCACAAAATTACAAATGTTTTAGATAACTTCATGAAACTTCCTCACAGGTAGTAGGCTTGTTTTAAGACAGCAATAAAAAGGTCATCTTTAAGAATAGAAGCTTCAGCTTGATTGCATGGTTGCATTATTAGGTTTTCTTTCCTATAATGACATGAGACAAACTAGACAGCAATTAAAGAGTTCCAATATAAATCAGGGTAAGCAGACTGAATTCTGAACCAAAATTTGCCACTGAACACACCCTGGAATGACAGAGGACCATTTTATTTTCCATTAGATGACACAATGCCAAGATTTTTTCTCATCTGGTAGGTAAATGCTTACATATTGTCACTATGCAAACCAAGAAACCCAGAGTCACTTTGCGTTAGTCTATCTTAACTAACCTTCCATTTAAAGGATAATGAAACTATGTCATTTCCCAACATGAAAACATCCACCGAAAGCAAACAAATACTGCAAATGCTACACATGCATAAATTTAAAAATATTATTATAACAACAACAATATTAATAGTAATAATAGTAATAATAGGGCTACCTCCACCCACAGTTGTTTTTGGTTTTAGAAATTGATTTCTTAAATAGGAGCTATGGAAGATTTATAAAAAGGATTGTTATGTCAGGGATTGTTTCCCTATTTATCATATGGGCTTGAAAGCAAAGGCAAGCCCATAAATGAGCAGGAGTTGAGAGCAATCATCCTTTCCGGAAACAGGACACCCAAGTATTGCATTTCTAATAGTCAATATTAACTAAGAAATATTATTAATTAGTCCCTCTATCAGTAGAGCTATAAAATGTTTTCTAATGAATAGCAGGAAAAGGGTATAAAGTTTTCTGAAAGTTCACAAGATTCACAGTCTTAAGTCACAAAAGCTACTTGAGTATTCAGAAATACTATAAATTAAAATTGTAAAAGTATAAGTTTACCTATACAGAGACACTGATTAATTAATCTGAAAAGTTAACTATTTTTTTAAATTAAGAAAATCTAGCAAGTACTATTGCAACAGTGCTCCAAATTCTGTTTATATTAAAAGCTCAAGTTTTTTTAGTAAGATCCCATAGGGCTGCTGCCACACAAAAGCCACAACAGACAAATGTTTAGATAATAGCCAAAAAAGTTTCTGAATGCACTTTTAAAACAAGGAAAACATGTTTTTCTAAGGTAATTACACTAATTTGGCATAGGTATTTGTATTACCTGAGAATAAGCATGCAAAATATGCTCATTGCTCTGACACAATTTCAATGCTCAGTTTAAAGCAAATTATGAGGGATTTCTCTTTGCATAGCACTTGGCTATTTCAGGAAGTAAATGTTGCCAAACTGAATACTTGCTCATATGTCTAAAAAGCATTCACCTAGATACTTATATGGCATATTGCTCCTCTTACTTTATTTAAATCATATCAATGCCCAAATTTGATAAAATGGTTCATAATAACTTCTATTGTGCTAATTATCTCATTTCTTGGAAACAAAATAGTCACTTTTCCCCTAACTTCTATAAAGGTATGTGAAAAGCAGGTAAAAATATATTGCTTTGGCATTACTACTGCTGGGAGAGACAAATATCTATCTTACTGCATTCATCAGAGCAAGCTCTGCCATTTATATTTCACTGTAAAACAAAGAACTAGTACATGTTGCACAAATATGCTAGATATTTTGTTAATGCTTCACCGTTCCTACTGTAATACTGCTGTGCTCTGTACTTACTTCTTTATCAGCAAAATGTGATTTTCAAGAGTTATGTTCATACCTGGCTGACATATGACAGAAAGGCAATAAAGCCATAGCTAGGTTCAAGCTGAAGCTGAATTTATGACACCATTTTGGATCCATAAACATCACCTCCTGACAGTACCTGCATCTCTCATTTTCAACCACTAGATGGTGTGAAAAAATTAGAAAATTGCCAAAGATTCCTGCCGACTGCCACAAAATCCAAGCATTAATGTAGTGGATAATGTAGGAAATATTTTCTGAAGAAAAGTCTTGACCCACTTCAGGGCAGTTAAGTTCACTTTTCCTTTGGTTGTATTTTCACTTCCCAGACAAAGAGCTTGTAAATTATCAGACCTTGAAACTGAATCAAGTGGAGGGGTGAAGATGGATCATTCTCTGGCACTTTCCCCTCCAAGGACCCTAAATTCAGAGCTGACAGTAGTAGCCAACACTCATTTTTCTAAAAAAGCTGTAACAACCTTTAAGTGAAACTGGGCTGAATTTTCTGGACAGTATTTTGGAGTAGAAATCATTCCCAAAGAGAGAGGCTCTATATATCTAGAGCAATAGTAAGCCTGTCTCAAGGACCAATTACGGATTAATCACAGCATGACCACCAGACAGTTGATATACAGAGGTCAGCTTAAGCTACTGTTTTTCTATTCTGCTCCATTTTTTTCAATTAAATTTCTCACTCTTTTGGGGAAGGAGTAGCAAACTATTTTTTCACCTACAAGCTGAAGATACTGGACCAGGAAAGCACGACTCATGAAGTGGCCAAAGTCATACAGAGGAGCCAGTTTGTTCATGGGCTTTTTTGGGGGAGGGAGAGGAGGAAGAGGCAGTTATTTTAAATTAGTACCCTTCTTCAGTGCTGTATAACTGCTTGAATGTCTGCCCAATCCAAGAGTGTTATCCAGCCTTTAGTAATGCAATTCAGTTATTAGTTTAAGTGACAATGAAATACCTCAAAAGACATACATGGCCACATTACCATTAGTAATACATCTTCTATATTTTTATATAGTACTATCTCTCTATCCATAAATCTTTAATTTATTTAAACAGAAGCTGTTACATTTATTATTCAGAAATATTGCAGTTAAAGGTATCAAGGAAGATTTAAAGCAATTGTGACAAAACTGCAAAGTTTGAAACTAAGACAAACAGAAGCCTTTAGCTTTCTTGCACATACTTGTATATTTCAATGACCTACAATACATTAATTATACTGAACAGCAACTACATCCAAGATATATATTCTACAGCAATTTTTAGAAATTTCTTTGATTAATTGTTCAGAAGTAGACTTAACCAGACCATGAGATGAGACATACTTTAGGAGAGATTTTGGTTTTGTTGAGAGGGTTAAGGAAAAAAGAAAATTAACCAATATTAAAGCAGAATAAAATTTCATGCTTATACTGCTTATCATCACTTTAGATGAGAGGAATTATATTTCTCATTTGCTTCGCAAACAGGAAAGCTGTAAACTGAAAATTGCCCAAATCTGTCAGAGCAAACAAATTCGGAATCTGAGCTGTCAGAACAATTACAATATACATACAAAGATGAAAGCATAGTTCAAAAAACAAAAAACCCTTCTGTAGCAAGATGTCCAAAAAGTAAGAATCAGCATGGTCAGGGGATTATAAAACAGGAAGCAAAAAACATAACATACAAGATAATTTAAAATTCTGCAAGGTTAAAGTTTTACAAGCAGAAAGCACATTGTTAAATCAGTTAAATCAGTTAACAAATGGTAGCCAAGATTTAACAAGTAAATAAACATGCTTTTAAGTTAATTCCTGTGACACAGCTATGTTTGAAATGTGATTATAGTTCATTTGACAAAATAATTAATTGCAGTGAATATCTGATTGCAAACAAAGGATCTGAAAGGGAGTGCCAATTTCCCCCCCGTAGGACTGTGGGAATGTGCCCTTCTGCCATGGCTCTCTTTTTACAGCTACGTAGCCCCAGTAGCATCCTGTACCTTGCTGAGGATGAAGATAACGTCTCCACGTTTAAATGTCAACTCATCAGGTTCATCTCCTGAGCAGTCCCACAAACCTTGATAGAAATTGGCATAGTCGGTATTTTTGCTATCTGCAAAGAAAACAGCAGCTAGTTATAAAAGGACAAAGACTGAGAGACTCAAGTTACTCTAGATCCCCAGATGCTACAAAGCAATTAGCGCACATTTCTTACTCCTCTTTTTAGAAACAACTCCTTTGTATCACAAAAGCAAGTTTAATGTGCGAGCACTTTACTGCCAAATTGTATCACTTAAAAAACAGGTAGCTACAGGTTTACAAAGCATTTTGCAGCTGCAACTTAAAGCAGCTAGTTTTCCTCTACTAATGTATTTCCAGCAAGCCCTATTTGTACCTCAACTCAAAACTGGTAAAATTGCTAGAATATAATTAATAGCAATTTGGGAAAGGAAGCCAAAGTATTTTGCGATATGCTTCCCCTCCCTCTCCTGTTCCAGAAAAAGTAAATAACTTGTCTGAGAACCTTTGAGATAATCCTTGATTGTTCCATCTGAAATATTGGAGAAGTTGGAAACTGTTGCTGAAGCTGCATTTTAAAAATATTTGTGTCAGCTCCAGTTTAGGATATTAAGCTCTGGCTAAACATGCAACTACACTACAGTCATAAACTCATCCTTCTCACTGCATAAGCACAATGGATGTGCTGTGTTCAAGCTGCCATACAGACCATTAACTGATTGATTATATAGCACTCTTTGCTCTGTAATACGGCAATAACACAGTAATAAATGCTTTGTCATACACTTACAATACAGAGTATGTCTATTGAAACACAGCGCTTACACGCGGTTAAATACACTGGGTGCTTCTGTTACACTGCAAACTATTTCCTGTTTTTAATTCCATGAGAATGGAGTGTGATGAGTTAATGCAAAAAGAATGTAAGCTATACCACTAAGATGACCAGTTACATTATGTATACACTAACCAGACAGAATGTATACGTACTAATAATTTACATCACTGGAAAGCTATCTTCTAATTCTGATAACATAAATATCACTGAACTGGCTGGATCAAGGCTGTCATCTTAGTTTTGTTATATGATCCTCAAACAGCAGGCTTGCTGGTTATTCCAACATATACCAGTTACATTTGCATGTCGTTAGCACTCTACACCATTATTTATAGTTTAAAATTTATTCATGATTGCTTCACTTTGTTACAGAAAAAAAAAACCAACAACCTGCCAAAATATCAAGTACCAAGTGAAAGTGTCATGCTATTAAAAAATCCAGCAGTGTTCAACTTGTATTTTTCCCTATTTTGACAAATACTTAAGATTTTCATTTTAATACTCTCTGTAGGAGAAAGAGCAGCTTGTTTTCTGTTTATCCATTTCAGCCTGTGTTCTGTGCTATCTTGTTTTGACAGCAATCCTGTCATAAGGCTAAACATTGACAAGCCTGAATTTAAAGCTGCCGTGCAAGTTAGCCACCATTTAATTCTCCATAAATGAGTGATGAGTAGCTAGCTACTACTTGCTAGATTGCACTAGGGGGAGTTCTGCCTACCAGTGCACAAATTCTTCTGTCAGCACGCCAAAAGTAAGCAATATATACCTATATAAAAACTCCTGACCATTCAGAAGGAAGAGATTTGGTTATTGTAAAGTGTATAAACACATTAATTTCAAGAGGAAGGCAGAATCCGTTTGAAATGCTGCACCTCTAAATTTTGGCACTTCCCTTTTGTCAGCTCATTATTCAGCAATTTAGCATTAAACAATTATAAGCATGAACTCAGGTTAGCGAGAAATTAATTTTTTATAACTATTAAATCTGCATCTCTCTACAATTTTTTGATACCACACTGACCAGTTCCAAGGTCTATTGCTTAAAAGATATTACAAACCCATGTGAGAAAGTACTAAAAGAGCTATTTTGGTATATCCCACCTTTCAAATCTTTCAGCAGTTGTCTTATCGATTTGGTTTAAAATACACTAATCAGCACTTTTACTTCTTCAGAATTGCACTGATTCATGGCTTTTTACAGTGATCTTTATCACTCAAGGTCTGTTATTACCTTTATTTGCTGCAATTAACTCCTGCTAACACTAATGGGAGTTACACAGAAAACATGAGCAATAGAAGAGATCCTACAGCACAGGAGGCACATCTCTTCCTAGATGTTCATCATGAACATTTAATTAAGCCCTAAAGTGGGAAATCAACTCTAGTAATAACATGGCAACACTGGAAAAGATGCATATTAAAATAACCTTGCTCTTACAGTGGAGATATTGCCCAAAGACCAACCATGGCTCTGTGCCCTCACCTGTGAATTCCACATAAGACAGAGTTGTTTAAATCACAAAACCACATATCCTGGAAAAACATACAGCAGTATATAAGCACAAAAATTTAAAAAGGGGAGAGAAAGTGCCAGTGTAAGTTTGTGAACAACTATGCTGGTCTTCCAACAAGTGTCAATTTCAAATTCAAAATCCCCTGTCCAATCCACCAGCACAAATTTCTCAAAATTCTCTAAGTGTAGCTACACGTGCATAAAAGCCAATTGTATATTTAACTTCAGAATCTAAAGGGCAAAATGCTTCATAAAATAATTTGTAGTTCTTTGCAAACATGGAAGTAGAAAAAAAAAAAGCTGCAAAAACATCTGTAAATCAGAGTGCCATTCCTTCTTACTTCTGCTCCTCTTTCATTTGGAGAAGACCCTGCCAAATTTCATTTGATTGCCTCTGGAGAACCAAGTAAAACAAAACCAGAAGATAAAGGAATTTGGTATTTACATGGTAATGAAATTATGTGGAGCTTCTTAAATACATGTAATACCTGAAAACAGCTGGTGGACTTAGCATTATGAACTTACGTGCCCATTAGAGTTCCAACTCAAAAGGTCTTGATTTGCTGCCATTACTCTGTCACAATTACAATCTATTTTTATGCACTGTGAAATATACTATGATGACGGAATTGCTTAACTAAAGTCTCTTATATTTCAAAGGCCACTTAGGCCACAACATGAATAAGACATGATAAATAAAAACGTGTAGCAGAGGGTAGGAAACAGTTTGCTTTGAATATCACCAATCACAAGAAATGGCTGAGCAGGATTTTTGATAGGTTGTCTCTTCAAGAAACAGTTTTTTCATTCCAAGACTGCTATCTGAATGAACAACTATCCAACAGCATCCAAAACTTCTCCACAAATAATTCCTCATGGTTTTCTCCTGCCAACACTGTTTTTCCAGTAGCAGTAATAGGAAAAATAGATATTTTTGTCCCATACACTGATGAAAAAACTTCAAAATTTATTTGACAGATGAAACAGCAACAACTGCCAGCTTTCAGACTGCTTCTTTCACTGAAAAATACTGGCACCTGACAGTACATGGTTGAAAGAAAGGTGAACAGTTAGGGTAAAAAAACCTGACAAGTATGACACTCAAACATGCACTTCAAATATTGTACACTGTTTAAAACTTAAGAATGTCCAGGGATTATTCAAGGGAGAAAAAAAAAGTATAAGAATATTCTAAAAGCCACAATAGACAGAAAACACAAAACCTGGAAAAAAAAAAGAGATTAAGATTGCATATTTCACAGGGATTTAATTTTCTGCTGTCCCATTGCAGCCTAAGCCAATCTAACTGCAGGCTGGTCCATTCCTGCCCCCTCCCTTGTTCCAATTTTGGTGCTTGCCATTTCTGTGCACAAACCTGGCAAAAAAAACCTGAGCAGAACACGACCAGGAATTACAGCCCAAGTATGGAAATGCGCTACTTGAAACACTGGAATAAATGTGACTGTGCCTGATTTTCACTGATCTTCCATTTTAACCTTGATGGCATCTAAGCTGGCAAAGCCTGCTACAGTAGTGACTCAGAGCTAGGAGTTATACTACCTGCTTATGCACTGCTTCTGCAATGAAGGAACATGCATGAATGTTTTCCTTTCACCACTGTGGTCCACTGCCCACTACACTGAACAGCTTGCCATTCTGATTCATACCGACTCCTGATCAGACTTGTCAAATTTTATAGCATCAGATTTGAAGAATACTAGTCCGGGCTACTTAACAATATTTGAAAGAGGTGAACTTCTGGTAAACTATTGTATTCCCTTTTGGTGATAATGTGCTCAATGTTTACCGTACTGAAGGCTTAAAGATGAAGAGACAGGTGAAGTTCAAAATTAAAGGTACAGAAATGACTGTCTTACACAAGTGATTTACACTCTCAGTGCCCAGATGAGACAAACTCTGATAAAGAAAATAGTTATTTGTTTGTTCTGATGATGTACTAAAATGCAAAGAACATCTTATTTTACTTATTAATCCTTCTTCCCACATAACAGAAAGAAGTATGAAGTAAGGGCAAAAAACTGTAGTGCATTTATCTGAACTCCACCTCTAATCTAGCCCAATCTGTTCAGTATGATCTTTCTCAGTTTCTTTCTCCTATTATTCCTTAGTTACCCTAAAATCAAAGTATTTACACTGAGACAATACAGACACTCACTGAAATAGTGATTGTGGAAATAATGGGTATATAGTGATAGCAAAAAAGGACTCAGCAAGCCTTATATAATATAACTGAAACTCTACAATGCTTTGTTTTGTTTTGTTTTTTCTTTTCAAATAATTAGGCCACTAGCAACTAATGCAAAACAATCCAGTAGCAACAGTCAGCATCTAGATGAACAAATAAAAATAACTCGAGTCTGCACATTAACTGAAGTAGTGGTAAGTTAGAAAAAGAAAACAGTAGAAAAATAAAGGGGATTTTGTACATGATAAGGCTGAGCTCACAGAGAGTTTTCACGATATTTTCTCTAAAATTCAGGTTACGTAAAGCTAGGCAATAAATTAGGAATGTATGCACTGTTTGTATGGAGAATCATTAAATACCAAGTCAAATTAGACACTTATGATGTGATGCCTATCAGAAATACTCATGTCAAGTCAGCCCTAAAAGTCAAATTTCCAGTGTGATATAGTTAACTAAGATCAGATCATAAAAATACTGCTCTAAATAAACCTGACATCTGGGGAAAACTGTTATGGTCTTTTCAAGGACATTACACAAATACTAGTAAGACTGATAAGGCTTCTTTCACAGCAGTTTAAACTTTTCAGAAAAGAAGGTGCTAAGGTTTTGATTTCTTAAAAGTATGGTCAGTTAGAACTTGAAGAAAATACATCAGTGAAAAAAAAGCTGATGGCAACTTGATTATTAGATTGACCCCACACTCTATTATGACAACATGCTCTTATAATTACAGTAATGTCTAAATGAGTACTAAACACTAAGGCTGTAATGAGTCATGTTGTTTTACACGTTTTTAGCAGAGCACAATGCTAACTGCATCTGATGACTAGGCTCTTGTTTCCTTTCCAAGTAAAGCAACCCAAAACTCCTCACAGCAACCTGTTCCTGCTTTCCTGTATGGGTCAGGAAAACAGGCCTCTGTTTCCTCTTCACATGTTGCAACAGGAAGAGCACTGCAGAGCTACTTCCTAAAGGAACTCTTCTTGCCCACCCCTTCCTTGACAGCTCTGAAAGAATTATGTGTATTATGTATGATGAGGGAAGGACAGCCAGATTGTATGTCAATGCAGGTCACTTGCAATGCAGCAGATCTCAAAAAGGTGTAAGGTCTGATAAGAAGCAAGTCTTCTCTACTTGCTGTGTCAAATCACCAACAGTTTATCTAAAGGCCTGTGCCCTTGAAGCACATATATATCTTGTTTTAAAGCATAACTGGAAAAACCTTTCTGTCAAGAAACATTGTCTGACCATGTGACTTTACATGGTGTTTGCAGTTATTTTTCCAGTCCCAGAAATAATTAGCACATGGGCAGTTTGCCAGGCTAAAGCTGAGAGAATATCCTTCACAGCCTTTCTGGGCATTTGTGTCCTTTTCCAATTTTTATGCTGCTGTGACTGGACTCTGGCATTTCTTACCCAATTCATTTGCTTTCTGTCGTAATCATATGCAATGAAGATATGCATGGCCAACATTTAAACAGGCTGCAGATCAATTAGTGGTCTTAAGTTTATCTGATTTTTATCAAAGAAGACAGAGCTTTGGGTCGATTGTCAGAGCCTGTGTCAAGTTGACCTTTTCAGAGACGTCTACATTGCTAGTCCCTTGGGCAACTTGTTGTCCCCTGTTAGTCTCTGAATGGCAGAAGTCTGTTCTGCTCAAGCACAAAGTATACACAGATGTCTATATTACATTCTTATAGGTTTGACAGCAACTGCATGTTGTATCTATAAACTGTCCTTTAGCAGTGACACTTCCTCAATGATGATAAGCTAATTTATGCAACTAAATCTCCTTTGTGCAGAAATGAAAGCTAATTGAGTCATTACAAAGTAATTCAGGAAGGAATACCTTGTATAAATTGGCTTACTTTATAAATCCTTCTCAAGTGGTTTTCATGCATCCTAAGTGGTGCTAAGCAGTTTTGCTGCCATTAAATACTCAGATGAAAAAGACAGCTTTACAAAGCTATAAAAATATTTTAACACAGCAAAGTAAGATACAAGAAAATAAAGGGGAAAAAAAAAGTACATACACAAAATAAAAAGGAAATATTTTAATTACCTGAAACAGTGGTAACTTCCTCCTCACTCAGTTTTCTTGGCACTTCAGCCTTTGAAGGAACACGTTCTTCTGCAAAACACAACTGCAAATGAAACTCTGAAGGGACACCTCAGCTGACAGGAATCACAGCCCACATCAGTCTGAAAGCCCCACTACATTTTCAGATTGTAAGCCAAGTTTACTATTTTGCATTTGTACAGAAATTGGAACGTGGTTGTTTCTGTGGTTTCCCCTACCCATCCAAACACTCCAAGAGTTTTCTTTCAAAATCTCAATTGAGAACATCTGTTTCCCTTTTCACTCTGCTCCGACTGCAGTAACATAGAGTTGCAGTTCTGCTGTTTCTCAGTCATTCTGAGACAATCAAAATTAGGGTCCTATTCTGCTGTGTACATTTCTTGCCCGGAAATAGAAAAGGAGACCAAGGATTGAAAAAGTATCGCCAGCCCATGCAGAAATTCCAGAGTTCTCTTAAGAGAAGTATGCAGAGGAGGCAGAGGGACATCTTACCTTCAACACTGTCAGAGACATGCTAGCTGAACACTTTCACAATGGGAACACAGCCACTACAGCTGCCATGCATTCAGTGCTCCTGCCTGCTGCGCCTGACCATGGTTTTAAGCAATCCTGACAGTATCAAATAACTTAGTGCAAGCTCAGGAGACAAGAAAAGGGAATGCCTGGCAGTGATCAGCTCTGAAACATGTTGTCTGGCTAGCAGGCTTGGAACACACTGAAATCCCCATAGGCAGTTCCGAAAGATGTGCTCCATACTCCTTGTCTGGCACAGACGGGGAACTCAGTTGTACCCACACACTCACATAAGTAAATCCACACGCCACTAAGTACAGTCAACAATTCTGTTGATCAGGGAAGAAAAGGGAACAAACGATGAGATTTTTCAGCTGTGTTCTTTCTTTAGTTTCATAAGGAAGTAGAAACAGATTTATCTTGGCCTTCACGGTATATCAAAACTGACAAAGCTGCTGTACTGAATGAGGAAACTGTATTGATAAACCCACTTCTCAAACAAGAATTGGACTTTTAATACTTTGCTTTGCTACTCATCACATTTTATACAGATATTCATGGTTCTTTTTAGGACACACATTTCAGCAACTAGTTTTGATATTTTATTAATGACAGACAACAGATACAGAACTCACAGCTTTTAAAATGTTCCTTACTGTACAACTTGTATGTAATTGCCTAGCTACTTTGACAAGGAGTGAGTTTTATATCAACAGTTCAAAGAATTTTCTGCCTTGTAAAAATTTCATCTATCCACAAGACTGTTCCTGCAAACATTAAAGCAGATGTTTAAAGCACAAGAGTAGACCTGTTGAAATGAGTATGCATAATTGCTGCTAACCTATATACGCAGTCCTACAAATATGACAATTACATCACTCTACAAAGAGCTTTAAACTTCTGCCCTACTAAGCCAGCAAGAGTTTTTTGCTCCCTGACTCCTGACTTGCTAGAAATCTGGTTGAGATGAATATAAACTATTATCTGAGCCAGGGGAAAAAAAAACAACAAAAAAACCCCCAACAAACTAAAAACAATACAACAGGGAAAATCTGAATCTGTGGTACAACACAAAACACTCCTAACTATTTACTGCATTCACATGTGTTCCCCTACTTGGCATAACCCTCGTGGCCCATTTCCAAGTACACTCAATTTTGCTTTTTTAAGCACTCACAGTTGGAGCATAAATGGCAAAAATACAGCCCTATGTGTTGTCGGAGCACTAGGAGGCACTGGCATCCTGTGGCTTCAGTCTCACTATTAAACCACTCTCGGGTAGTATTATCCCATCAGCACACACACTTTCTAGGATGCTCCCTTTCCCTAGAACATCCAACACACAAAATTTTATGTTTATTAAATAGATGGAAATATTACTTGTTACTCAATGTTTGGACCTACGTGAGTTGATGTGTTGATTTTAGCTCTATCCCTGTCATAGTGATCGGACTAGCTTAAACTGAGGACTGGCTTTAGTAGAGAACTTCAATTGAAGTAAAACAGTAAAGGAGGTTTTAAGAGATGTTTTCATAAGGTACACTTGACTACTTGTAGACTGCATTGTGGTTTCATGGAAAAATTTAGAACATAGGGAGTCCCCTTCCTCTAAAACATATTTCCTAGAAAGAAGAGTTCACCAGATTAATATCTGAAGATGAGAAAATATCTGAAGCAAGGTTCTGTGAATACTGAAAAGGTCCCAAATACATAGAAAGGCTGTCCATATTAGCATACTGGTTTGGGTCCCAACTATCCCCACTTCTCACACTTTGCTTTACACTACAGAGTTGTCACAAAGAGGACAGCTTTGATGTGCCATTACATGGGTGAAGGCACTCCAGAAGCACACTGAACACAGTGCAGCCGCTAAGGGGCATTTGGTTGATGAAACCAAACTAAAGTGACTGCATGGGAAAACATGCACAGTGTGAACATCATGTCCTTGGCACAAACCTGTCCTTTATGAATCTGTTGCAAACACACCACACTACTTGCTAATGCAATCATGTTAACAGCAGAGCCGATATAAATAGGCTTGGCTTAGGATGGTGAAAAAGAATCTATGGTTCTTCCTAGTGTTTTCTGATATTACATTCTGAAGCAATAACTATGTGCAGGAGATGTCCTTCAAAGACAGGAACCTCAGTTATCCCAGGAATTGGCTGCAGTCAGCTGCAACATACTAAAGTTAGTGTTGCAACATGGGATAGAGTCAAAAGATGAAGAACTAAAATAAAAAATAAAGAAGTGCTTCTGTATTAAGATACTGTGTAAGAGGAATCATGCAGACTTCTAAAATAATATGGTATGATATTTCCTCTGTATCTCTTCTTCACACCATCACCACAACTGCAGTGAGAAAGTATTCTCCACCTTCTCACTAAGTCAAAATTAAACTAATCAACACTCATCAAGCCAGTGAACTCTTCCAGAGCAATAGATCCAAAAACCCCTTGAGATACTATCATGTTAGTATTCAGAGGCCCTAATGGCAAACCACCTACAAAATTCTTGTGATGACAATGCAACAAGGAACTAACTATATTTGTTAAGGGTTTTTAAATTATTCCATAAAAGCTGTTGAAAATACTTAGTTAACTTGCAGTCCAATGAAAGAAAAAAATGAAAACAAAAACAAACAGAAAAAAAAAATCACCCAATCATAGATGTCTCTACCATCCACATAATTTTAAAAGTGAACAATAAATTCTGCACTAGCCGATTCCATGGATTTTTTTCCTTACAATTTTTTCCTGACTACTTGAATATAAAATGCATAAGAGTTTGGCATGAACAGTGCATTCTTTCAGTGGAGTGTGGTATCTCCATGATAATGCATATAAACTTAGCAGTTTCTTCTACAAACACATTCCTTAACCATCTTTTTATATTAGAATCTAATTTAATGCCATTATTAATTTGTATTCTACTGTCTTCTAGTCTCTAACATAGACACTATCATTGCACAATACTAGTTTATACCCTGGATAATTGCAGTTTGTGGGTTAATATATTTCACTCAACATTTCAATAACAGTAAACAAAAACAGCTCAGCTATGCAGCAAAATCTACCAAACCACACAGATGGCTATAAGCTTTTCATTGTGTGGTTTCCATAGCAATCATATTGCGAATCTGGAAGCTTCTTGCAAATAAGCAGCTTGTATTTACATGCCTCTCAGCTGCAGCATGGAACTCTACATGTGAAGTTGTTATTCCAATCACATATTGTTAGAAAAATCCTTGGAAGATGTTTTGATCAGTTAAGATAAAAACTACTGCAGTGAACTAATTTTTCATCTATTCCACAATGACACAAGCAATCACATGCTTGTAATGTATATTAATATATCTTAATTTGAAATCTCACTGTGGTGTCAGAAGGTTATAAGCATATAAACAAGTCCTGTAAGACAGACCACCCCCACAAAAACACTTGCATTATTAAGATATCAATAAATAAAAAAATCTTTACTATTGTACTCAGCACGAATGACAAGACACATGC